CAGTCAAAATGACTATTTTGAACTGTAGGCAGAGTCAGACACCGATAGGAGGTGGGTTTTTACGAGCAAACAGAAAAAAAAGGAGAATGATGAAAGACTTTTCCCCAGTCCGGGATGAAAACAAACCCAAAAAACTAACTTAAGACCCAAGAAGGGTGGTGTCTTACCTTGCATGTGTTGTCCCCGAAGCAAGAAGCCAATGCTGCTGTGGTGACAGGGTTCTGTGTGCCCGAGAAAGCTAGACCCAAGCCGAATTCGGGGGTGATAAGCTTGAAGTAGGACCGAAACAGTTCGCATGAAAGCGTAGGTCGACAGAAGCGAAACCTGGGAGCTTCCAGGAAGTGCTAGTGGAACAGACAATCTGCCCACAAAAATGTCGAGACTGACTTATCGCCTATGCGCAGAGGCCCCTGCGGTCGTTCGGGCGGGGTCAGCAAACAAGGCCTGACCCGCTACGACGGGGCCTAACCTGAAGAGACCCTGCTCAATAGATTGGGTGTCTCTTAGGTAGTAGTTGATGAAGACGTTCTGCGTTCTCCGGAAGCCTGCCCTCAGAATGTGTTTGAGGGGGGCACCTGACGCTAGCGCTAATGAGTTAGCAATCGCACGGACCTCATGTTCTCGTACTTGGTGTCTCTGCAAGGTCTGTGTTGAGGAGGATAGTGTATTATAGACCTCCAGTACAGTCACAGTAATCCACCTGGAAATGGAAGTCGCGGAAGCCAGCTTATCCTGTTTGCCAGGGCCGTAACACAAAAACATGTGTTTGGTTCCCCGTCTGGAAAACCTGGTACGGTTCACTTAGCAACTCAGTGCTCGAACCGGGCAGAGAAGCAATTCCTCCTGATCCTCCGGACCGACAATATTTGCCAGCCGGGGGATGACGATCGGTTGAGGATCGTGTCCTGGGATTTGGTTCTTGGCGAGAAACCTGATTTGTGTCTTTAGTACAACTTGATCGTCCATAAAAGCGGTACAACTGTCCACAAAGGACAGTGCGCCTAGCTCTGATCGGCGCCTACCTGAGGCGAGGGCCAGTAGGAAGACTATTTTCCACGTCAAAAATTTGAGCAGTGCTGATTGGAGAGGCTCAAGGGGCGGCCCTGCTTAGAGTAGACAACACAGCTGATGAGTCCCAGTTGGGCGGCTCCCTTGTATGGGGTCTTGGCGTCTGGAAAGCAGTAAATAGTCTCCTAAAAATAGGACAATCGGCTAGTCTTGTTTCCATACGTTCTGAGTGGTGGGGGACAAGACCAACCAGTAGCCAACGCTCGCTGCGTAGGACAAACCCACTTCATCAAACAGGTGGACGAAGGAGCCTGCTACCTGGCCAATAGAAGGATGGTATGGATTAATCTCCCTTTTGCTACACCAATCAGTGTATGCTTGCAGCCTAGACATGTTGGCCGTGTATGTGGAATGCCTGTTCGCCCTGGCCAAGACGTTGGCAGCCCGCTCAGATAAGGCTTTCGTATGTGCGGGTCTACTGAGAGCCTCTATGCGTGTAAGTGATACCTGCTGGGCTCGTTGGTAGTGCGCCGTCTGGTTGGGACGGCAGGTCCGGTAAGTCTGGAAGCACTGCTGGCGCTTCGACTAGCATTTCCAACAGAAGTGGAAACTAGGCCTTGCTTGGCCAATTGGGTGCAACCCATGATAATATGCGGGTGTGCACCTGTCGAAGATTTCTCCGGTGCCCGGTGAACTAGTGGGAAGGGAAGAAAGGTGTACACAACTAAGTGGGTCCACGGGGCTAGCAAAGCGACCATGGCCCAGGCTCCTGGAGTCAGCAGGAGTGTTACGTAGGTCGGGAGCTTGGCGTTCCGGGGTGCGGCAAAATGGTCCAACCTTGGACCGTCCCACGGCCAAAACAGCCTGGAGGCTACCCACTGGGGTATCAGCCACTCCGTGTTCTGGAGACGGAGCCGCCCTGATAGGGCGTCGCCAGCCTGTTCCTCACCCCTGGAAGGTGGTGTGCGGTTAGCTCCACATTGTATTCCAGGCATCAAAGGAGGATTT